AGGGGGTTGAGGAGCTCCCCCCTGTCACTCACAGAGTAGGGCCGATAGGGGAGTTAGGGCACCACCCCCTGTCACCCACAGAGCAGGGCCGATCAGGGGGTTGGGGCACCGCCACTGTCACACTCAGGGCAGGGCCGATGGGGGAGGTTATGACTCTACCCTGTCACACACAGAGCAGGGCCTGTGGGGGTGGGGGGGAGGTTGGGGCGCCGCACCCTGTCACAGAGCAGGGCCAATCAGGGGGTTGGGACGCCGCACCCTGTCACACACAGAGTTGCAGGGTGATCAGGGGGTTTGGGTGCTGCCCCCTGTCACGCTGATCCGGTGCCAGGAGGCCTCGAGGCTCCGCTGATCCCGGTGCTGGGAGGCATATTACCCTTTTACTATATAGGATAGAGGCCTGGGGGCCGGCTGGTTTGCCCTGAAGGGTGTCCTGGATCAGGGTGGGGGTCCCCACTGGGATGCCTGGCCAGCCTGGATGAGGGGATGATGGCTGTTTGCAGCTGGTCACACACCCTTCAGGGTGGGGGTCCCCACTGGGGTGCCTGGCCAGTCTGGGTGAGGGGCTGAGGGCTGCTTTCAGTCTGGCGGTTATTGACTGAAGCTCCCAACCGCTCCTTTTTTTTCTCTTTTTTTAATTTTATTCTGGGCCAGCTTTAACTCTGGCTCTAGCTCTGAGGCTTCCACTGGTTTGTTTGCCGTTCTATAATCGAAACAATGTATAACTCCAGCTCTGAGATCCCAGGGTTTTGTTTAGCTTCTATATTTGTTACAAAGTTTCAAACTGCCAGCTCAGAGGCCGGCAGCGCAGGCGGGGAACGTTGGAGTCTGCAGTCACTGCAGCAAGCAAGCCTCATGTTTGCTTCCAGCTGCCTGGCTGCCGGCCGCCATCTTGGCTGACAGTTAATTTGCATATAGTCACTGATTAGCCAATGAAAAGGGTAGCGGTCGTACGCTAATTACCATGTTTCTCTTTTATTAGTGTAGATAATAAAGAGCTAATATGCTAATTAGACTGAATGGCAGAACAACCTTCCGGAATGACCTTCCACAACGACCTTCCGGAACAATCAGTGGGAGGGGCCATGGGGCCATGGGCCGCTAGGCAGCCAGGACTGCGAGGGTTGAGCCCCTTGCACGAATTTTGTGCATCAGGCCTCTAGTTATTCACAATAAAGCCGTATTAGTAGCCTTTGCCCAGTAAGTTTTTCATTATTTAGGCTTGAGCACAAATAGAAAATTGAGTATTTCTAACAAACAACAGGTTTCCTTTAATCCAGGATTTTGAATTATCCTTGATTCTTAATCTCAGAGATTATATTAATTTCTTGATAAACACATTCCTATTTCATTTTTACTTTTTAAATCCTCACCTGAGGATATGCCTTTATTGATTTTAGAGCGAGAGGAAGGGAGAGGGAGAGAGACAGAGAGAAACACTGATGTCGGAGAAAACACTGATAGGTTGCCTCCTGTATGTACCCTGACCAGGGATAGAACCCGCAACCCAGGCATGTGCCCTGACTGGGAACCAAACCTGTGACCTTTTGGTGTATGAGACGATGCTCCAACCAACAGAGCCACACCAACCAGGGCCCTATTTCATTTTAAAAGTTGATTTTCATTACTATTCATTATAAACTATGGAACAACCAAGTCTTTCATTAAAAACAAATTTACAAAAACATCAATAGGAAAGGGGTTAATATCCAAAATATATTAAAAAAACAACAACCCATACATAAAAAACTAAGGTTTAGCATCCAAATGATCCAGCAAGTTATCATCTGAAATGACATTTGACTATCGAATGATTATCATATGAAGAGAGATACTGTATGATATTTATGCTTTAAAAATCTATAAAATTTATAGTGAGCCTCTTGTGAACATTTCATGATTGAAGAAAATGAGAATTTTGCAACCTGGAATAGCACTTAGAAAGCTGGTTGAGCCCTAGCTGGTTTGGCTCAGTGTCTAGAGCTTCAGCCTGTGGACTGAAGGGTCCTAGGTTTGATTCCAGTCAAGGGTACATGCCTGGGTTGCGGGCTTGATCCCCAGTAGGGGACATGCAGGAGATAGCCGATCAATGATTCTCTCTCATCATTGATGTTTCTATTTCTCTTTCCCTTCCCCTTCCTCTCTGAAATCAATAAAGATATTAAAGAGAGAGAAAGAGAGAAAGCTGGTTGAGACAGGTCCAGATTTAATATAATAGGACAGCGATTTTCAACCTTTTCCATCTCATGGCACACATAAACTAATTACTAAAATTCTGCACCACACCAAAAAAATACATTTTTTGCCTATCTGACAACAAATAGGTATAATTTTGATTCATTCAAACCATATGGCTATTGCTGTGTTGGCTGTTGTCATTTATATTTTTTTAAATCCTCTCCTGAGAATATTTTTTCCATTGATCTTTAGAGAGTGAGTGGGAGGGAGGAAGGGGAGAGAGATAGAGATGAGTCAATGTGAAAGACACATCAACTGGTTGCCTCCTGTTGAGACTGAATCTGCAACTGAGGTAGGTATCCTTGACCAGGGATGGTGCTTCTTCGGTCCACAGGCCAATGGTTAACCACTGAGCAAACCAGCCAGGACTGTTGTCATTTTTTTTGGCAATCTAAGGGAAAAAGGGTCAGTGCCCATGACTAAATAGTCAGGTATTGACATGTTTTAAAAATTCTTGCAGCACACTGGTTGAAAACTGGTCTAGTTATTGCTGTGAAGGTATTTTGTAGATGTAATTAGCATCCATAATCAGTTGACTTTGAGTAGAATATCTTCCATAAGTTGCATCGGACTCATCCAATCAGTTGAAGTCCTTAAGAGCAAACACTGATGTTTCCTGGAGACATTTCTGCCTTAGACTATAACACAGAAATATTGCCCAAGTTTCTAGCCAGCCAGCCTGCCCTAGAAATGTTGGACTTGCCACCCCCCGCGTGGCATAAGCTAATTCCTTTCAACGCAGATTTTGTTACTGACATGGGTTTTAGAGGAAGAGAATCTTAAGAAAGAGTTTCCTGAATTGGTTTCTGGAACAGATTCTCTAATCTGATTAGATTTAAAGGCACCATTTCCAGTTGCAAAGAGAGCTCTGACAGTCTATGACATGATATGGCAACAGATAGGCAAAACCCCACCAACGGATAAGAGGTGAGGCTCTGGGACCCATGTATTTGATACAGAACATTTTGATCAAACTAATGAATATGAGATTGGCTGTTTGCTTATAACCACACTGGACAGAGTGAGGGAAGAAAAAGGATGAGCTCAGGGCTTCACATTTCTGGCTCAAGTGTAACCTAAATGACCAGAGTTCCCTATCTTCCCTAAAGAAATTCCTATCACTTATAGCCACAGAGCTATGATTTTTGCAAACCAAAGCCAAAGCCTCATCCTCCAAATGGGCTGAATTACAATGACAATCGAATTCTCCACTCTAGGGTAGGAGCTGCTCAAGTGAGGGCATTGATTGGGAAGGAATGTCCTGAAATCTGGATTGAGCGTATTTGGGCAATTCTGGTGAAGCTGGGGATGTTGAACCCCCAAATCCTGCCGAGCCTCTTTGCCAGAAGCAAACTTCTCCCTGAGGTTGAACCTGTTTTGCCCGAGCAATGAAGGCAATGGCCTTCCCTGATGTAGTTTCCTTGCAAGACACTGCGGATCTTAGGAAGTGCTCCCACCATCCCTCTTTATTCCTGTAATCAGACTCAAGTCCCAGCAGGCCCTGAAAAGTGAGGTACAGAGAATGACCCAGGAGGTGCACTACATTCCAAAAGAACTGCCCGATTTTTCCAATTTATACTGACATATCTGGGGAATACAGGAAGGAATGAACATTAAGGGACCGGGGGTAATAGTGGAAGGAACACAGATTAGACTGAATTTAGTAATATGGCCCCATTAAGCAGAGATTCAAGATTCAATATTGTAACGAGGGGTTTCCTGTGCAACCATGTGCTTAGGCAGTTTTGTTCCCTTTGAGTTTTTTTTTTTTTTAAGTATATTGTTATTGATTTCAGAGAGGAAGGGAGAGGGAGAGAGAATCATTGATCGACTGCCTCCTACACACCCATACAGGGGATCGAGCCCACAACCCAAGGATGTGCCCTTGACCAGAATTGAACCTGGGACCCTTCAGTCCCTAGGCTGACGCTCTATCCACTGAGCCAAACCAGCCAGGGCATGAGTTTATTTTTAATTCAAAAATGAGGTAGCTAACCCCACATTTCACCTAGTGATCTCTCACCCATCTTCCAAAGTCAGGACTATTTTGCAGCCCAGCCTCATTTCCTGAGAACTTGAAGACATTTCTTCAGTTATGAACAAGCACCTGAGATTTGTTCATCACAACCACTAAACTTACTTTTGCTAACACTGGTAACAAATGAGGCTTTTCCAGCAGAGTTATGTGGAATGCCACCAGAGACCTGGCCATCCTGGCGTCTGGTCCTTACTCAACTGCAAAGTAGAATAAATAAATCATGGTCTTCCCGTGATTCAGGTGGATGCTTCAGTAACTGGCTCCGAGACTCTTACCACCTATCCTCCTAGTTACCGCCATGTGGAGTGCAAGAAGCGGAGGCCCTCTTCTAGTATCTAAAACCTACGATTCTGTGTCCATTCATTTTTCTAAAAATGAATTGTTTTTCTTTATTAAAACAAGTTTACCTTTGTCCTTCCAGATTGTTTATCACATTTTGCTAGATTCAAGAGTTAGGTCAACACAGCCAATGGGCAGCTGACATGAAATCTGCATGTTTATAACCAGAAGACCCAGAGGGCTACCCAGGATCTTTCTCCTGTACACGGGCACATTTACTATGTCTTTAGAGCCCAATTATATTCCCCGACTATGCAAAAAGTTAACGCATTAAAAAACAGAAAGAAGTTCCACTTTTACATATTGAATTAAAATTTATTTTAAAAGGTAAATTTTTATATATCCTTTTAAAAAATGAAAATTCAAATGTCTTAGAATTCAGCAATGAGTCTTCAATATTATAAAGCTATTTATAACAGTAATTAAAGTACTGGTAACATTTTACCTTTATAAAAATGTCACAGAATTCACATCACAACTTGGATCCTTAATGATTCAAGCTTCTCATCTTACACAATAAAGGTCTGATCAGTTTAAAGATAAAATCCCTCTGGATGTGCCGTCCTCAAGGCTTCCATTACCACTCCATCAGCTCACACAGTAGGGTAGCTGGCTGCCGTGGCGATCCCACAGTGGTTGCTCTGGTCTTTGGCCATTTTTACGTAGCCATTCATGCCCCATCCTGAACCCCAGCTGAAAGAAGAGCATGTTTTGCATTTTATTCAAAGAATCAAGTCATATTAGCTTCATTAATAATGCTAGCTAATACTTAAAATAGTGCTTACCATGTATCAGACACTCTTCTGAGGGCTGTTACATATATTTATAATAAGCCTATAATTCCCCCAGGGTCCTTATTTTAACTTACTAAGCTATGACATTGAGGCGGAACTGGGATTCCAATGTAACAGTCTATTTCCACAGCTGTCTTACACATCATCTCAGTTAAAGAACTTTGGCTGTGAAAATTGCTCCTGATAACCTCCTCTGCCTGAGATGGGAAGCAGAATACAATGGCAGGACATCAAATGAATGACAACAGGAAGGATGCAAGCAGGCCACTGAACTCTGGGACAATTTTTAGACCTAAAGAATCAGCAGAGGCCGATGTTTCTGCTCACTAAACCTTGCTGAAAAATTGGAGACAGAAAAAGGAAATCAGCTCTCAACCCTGCAACTAAGAAGTCCTTTACCGGAAACCCTTGGGACCAGATGTGTTCTTAAGAAAATTTTCAGAATTACAAATGCAATGCTACAAATACATAATAATAACACTAACCAGGTTCTACAGAATCTTAAAATCAAACACCAGAAATTCTGTGACTGTTAAGTATAAGAAAGACTTCTGGAATTCCAAAACTGAGCATTTTTGGACCTGAAACCAAATACTGGTTCCAAACAAGGATTCCCTTTTCAATTTCAAATATAACATTTGGGGTTTTATACCTGTTCTTGACAATCCAAAATTTATTGTTCTTTGAGTCTCCTCCTTCAGAGCCATAGCCAACAACCAGAACACCATGATCCAGGTCTTTGCTGCTGCAGTTTGGTTCATAATAGATGCCTAAGAGAGTAAAATTCAATGTGGGGATGAGAAGCTCTAAGTGACAGGTGGCAGGAACCCACCCTCTCAAAATTCAGTATTATGTCATAAATTCCAAATGAGGCTTAAATTTATTTGCCAAAAAATAGTAATGGCTGATAAAAAGGCAAACTCAACTCACTAGAAATCAACAAAATTTAACTAAATCCAATATATTTTCTAACCAAAAAAAAAAAAAAATTCCAATATGATCTAGTTATCAAGACTAATATGATTTAGGCACTCATTTAACTAATATTAATTAGCATAATCCTTCCTACTCCTAGAATGCCACCTAAAGGTTCTATAAAGAACCCTCGAGCCAAAGGGCTCTTTATAGTTCTAATTACAATAATAAATTTTTGGAATAAAGGTCCAACAATTAATTGGAGGATAGTCATGCAAGTTTAGGTTACATCTATAGAACTAATTACATAGCCACTTAAAGATATTTATGAACAGTTTGTCATCATGGGAAAATATTTAAAGTGGAAACATCACTATGTTAAATGTACACACTCAAAATTCTACAGTCCTGGAAAGTAGAACTCCATACCAAAAAGTCCTGATGGTGTTTTCCAATTTTGCCTACCCGAATTTCTGTAATAAAAAGACAAACACCTACCTGCATTATAGAACTGGAATGATGAATGGCCTGCATCTATAGCAACAGAGATGGGCCCCACAGTCGCCACTGCCTTCAGAAGGGCCTTCTCACGCTGAGGGATATCCACAAAGCCAGTGTCGTTGGCAGCAGAATACTCAGGTCTATAGTTGCAGGTGTTTGACTCCTTTTAAAGGTAAATGGGAAGGAGACTTATGAGCACCACCCACCTCCTGGGGAGCATTAGTTCTAAGACCCCAGACTCAGCAGTTGGCACCTTAATTATTTCTAAGTCAACTCTGTTTTACAGCAACCCAGGAAGCAAAATGCTATTGGCTGCCTTAAAAAATTTTTCACTATGGAGAAGTCTGCATTATATGCAGAATAGTGCATATATTCTCCATGTTACATAGAAGTAAGAACGGCTACAGTTAGCCACCTCATCAGAGATCTGTGCAAAATTTGATAATTTGTGGTGACAGTTCTGACAGTTTGCATCTAAAATGTGAATGCTGACTAAGGTGTCTGTTATCTCTGAAAATGCTCAACTTTCAAAAGCAGAGCTGGAATAACAAGATAAGGAGCTCCATTTACCCTTGCGAGATATGGATAGGATTCCTCTGTGTCCAGGCCTTTGTTGTCCTTGACGTACTGGAAGGCATTATCCATTAGGCCACCATTGCAGCCCTCATTGCCCTGAGAGCGAGAGCAGTCCACCAGGTTCTGCTCACTCAGCGAGACGAGTTTGCCGGTTTTCCGGAACATCTGTCCTTCAAGGGAACCAGTTGCACTAAAAGCCCAACAAGAACCACACTGACCCTGAAAATAAAAAAAACAACCATCAGTTTATAAGACAAATACAAAGATTGCCAACAGCCCATATATCAACAGCTCTGTAAAAACACCCCAGCAAAAAGCATGTCATTCCAGTGGACCCGAGCAGGGATGCCGTTCCTTTTCGGCTTTTCCGAGTTAAAAAGATCGGAACACGGTCATACCTGGTTCTTCACAGGAGTTACATAGCCTTTGTCTCTCCAATCCACAGATGAGGGGATCTGAGCAAAGAGAGGCTCTCGGAATACCTTCCCATTCCGTTGCTTCTGGTTCTGAAAGCCATTCATCACCTGCCTGAATTCTTCATTGGTCTACAAGGAAAAGTAAATCAACTGTTGAAAAAGCAAGAGCTTATTTTGCTAAAGTACTGAGGAGAAGAAGCACAAAAAGCGAAGCCTCCCAAGCCACACTCACCATGTCGCCAAAGGCATTCATCGCCATGGTGAAGCCCTGTTTCCTTAGGCTGTATTCCCGATTGTGCAGTTCGATCATTTTCATATTCTTCTCCCACACCGCTCTCCTCCATCCTTCTTCATTCTAGAGGCAAGCGCATACCACGCTGTTGTTTCTACTGAAAACCCAACCTACCCTCACCAAGGGGGATTTACAGACAGAGAGGAAGAGAAACCACAGCCAGGGAAGGCTTTATACTACTGGGTGCTGTTCTCCAAGTGCCATCACAGGGATGTACACCCATAGGGTGCTCATTAATGGCTGCCATTAAATTACTGCTCGGGGACGGCTGACCTCGGGAAGCTACTCTCTGGCTATAAACGCCTGACCTCAAGGGCCCTTCTCTGTGGGTCCCTCTGGGCAGTTTCAGATGTTACCCACCACGCCATATAGTCTCCGGTGTGTTGCCTTCCACTCGTACCACTGTGCGTCCAATCTTGGATCAAGTTTTGGAGTAGCTGAGGCTATTCCCAAGCAAAGGGCGGTCAGGAGGAATGAAGGATTCATGTTTCAAAACCTAGGAAGGGGGGGGGGGGGAATGAGTGATCTGATTAGACCAATCCTTCTGTAAAGCCATCTTACTGTGGGATAAAAAACATTTAAATTACCTTCCCTGATATTTATGGAAGGTCTGCTGAAGGCTACGGATGTGGGTGGAGAAAAACAGGCCAAGGGCTTACCAAATAGTGGAGGCATATGATTCAGCCATCAAAATGAAAAACAGGCTGACAAGTGCTGCAGGAATTGAAACAGACTTCATTGTAATAGCGCAATGACCATTTAGGTTTTGATTAAGGGCCTCGGGGCACCTTATGGGTCTGAATCTTAAAGCAGGAGAAAGAAACTGTCGGTCCAGGTTATTTACTCAAGGTCCCGGAGTGACCCAGGAAATTATGTATCAGGACTCTGCTCCCAGGTAAGAGCAGGGATCCCCAGGAGTTAGGGTTCCGCCTCACACCCTTCTGCTTGACTACTGCACCGCAGGGGTGCGATATGCCTTCGAGCCTTTGTTTCTGGAATTTGAAACCTTTCTGACCGGCCTCCCCGGGAAAACATGGGCCGCGGGGCAGCCAGCACACTTGGCCTCCGCAGCCCACACCGTCAGTCCCTCCCGCAAACCCGCTACGCGATCACGTGGCTCGGAGGAGCACCGAGCACAGAGCCCCGCTGGCATTGTCTGCACCGGCCCAGCTCTCCCTCCAGGTGCTCGGACACTGGCCGGGCCCCAGGTGACGCCGACGCAGCCGGCGGGGCCGCGCCGCTGGAATGCCGGCCCGCTCCCCGCAGACGCCCGCGTCCCGGAGGTTGTGGCCCAGCGCTGGTCACCGGTCTCCGCCGGAACCGATGGCCGCCACCGGCCCTGAGGCCTGGCGGCTCCCTGCATAGGCCCAGCGCCCGGGGGATCTCCGGCTCTCCCCGAACCCCTCCTTTCTGCTATGCGGGCCTCGAAGCCCCCAAGTGGAGAAGCGGGGGTTCGAAGCGGGCGCCGCATGCCTTTCTAGCCTGCTGTCCTGTCTGGCCGGGGCCCTGGCTCCAATCTCTCCCTGTCCGAGTCCTGGGGGA